AACATCTAATTTGAACCAATGCTGCATTCAACATACCCAAGTGACACACAAAAATCGATATTTAAGATTTTTTCAAATATTTACTTTTAAATTAGAAATTAACTATTGTATAATACCAAAATTTGAATTATAATCTACAATTAGATACCAAACTTATCCATATACATTCATGAAATAGTAGTTCAATAACATTTTGAATGTGAGTCTACAAACTAGAAGATATGTCCTTTGACCCATGAACACAGGACAACCAGTAGAGATAGGATTAAAGCATGTGTAGCTCAAAGTCATGTGGACTAAGTGTGTGGCATAATCAGCCTGGCTTTGTTTATATTATTGTATTTCAGATTTAAAGGCATATTTTGTGAGCTTTTATAGAGTTTTGACTTTTAGGACAGAGATTTTTGACTTAGAGATAATGTAGGCTTTCATTCAGCTGTTGTTTTACTGTTAAGGTCTTACTTGAGTTTAACATTGTGGGGTTATATTTTACTTTTCTTTTTTTTTGCAGCTTAAAGGGAATCTCACATAGAACTTATGAGAGAGAACCAATAAAGGTCTCTTTATATACTCTCTCTTACCAGTTCCACACATTAACTACAAATGCTTGCCTTTATTTCATTCATTGTATTGTGTTTGTACTCTAATTGTTTTGTTATTAAAGTTTGTTGTTGTGTACATTTTGTGTATTGAATCATTCTTGTTGCTAAACTCAGGTGTTCAGAGAAAATCAGATAAACACTCTGTAGCACAATATTTGGAGAACTTCCTGTTTAGTGGACCATACACATCTACTCTGCTAAAAATCCATGCTAACTTAAGAGTACCAAACAGTTTATTACTTGAACAGTGTTTTCAAATATGTTGGTAGCTGATAAGTGTGTTACTTCACTTGAAATCATGTTTTTTCTCTCAAGACTGAACCTTTGATTAAATGAATAACTGTGTACGAATCATATGTTGTGTAGCTCAATTGTTGTGACTTGGCACTTGTTGTATCATGTTACTAGAACCTTCTAAGTTTTCTCGTTGTTTTAATTGAGTAATATTTCATCATAATATCTCGTTATGTACGGAACATTTTAGGCCTCTGTCGGGCTATAAATATGCATCCAAAATGTAGTTCAAGTCAGTTAGTTAGATCTAGACTGCATGATTGTGAGTTTAGCCATAAAGAGCATATAGTGATGATTTCTAAAGTGAAATTATCACAGAGTAGAGAATAAATAATTTGTCTTGTCAATTGTGTTCCAAAATAACTGAACCAGCCAGTATGGACTATGAATAAAAAAAAAAAAGAGACAATTATTTAAAACTTTGGATACAACTATAGTAACCAACAATTATAGTGGTGATTTTAAAGTGAAATTATCATAGACTGTATTGTAATAACAGAGCAGGAAGAATAATTCATCCTGTCAAATTGTGTTCTAAAGTAACTGAACCAGTCTGTGTGGAATTTGAGGAAAAAAAAAAAGAGACAATTATTTAAAGATTTGGATACAACTGTGATAACCAACAGTGTAGTAAACATTTGTATATACTTTTGACTTGTTTTAATGTATATTATTTATAAACAAGTGGATTATATGCTGTTTGTTTATTGTTGAAATTTATCACCAACAAGTCACAGACACCTACTGTAAAGAATCCAGCCCATACATAAAAACCTGACAGAGATTCTGACAAATAAGTTGAAAAGTTCTGTATTATGATACAAAGAGACTGCAATGCTTTCAACTGCTTCTCTGTTTCCTTATAGGTCACATCTAACTCCCTTTTATTTGTATAATAGTGTTTTCAAACATCATTATCTTGTTTGTCATGAAACAGAAATGATGTGCTGTGTTTCCAATTTACAACCAGCCTTGTAGCTTATCCCCACAGGTCATTTCATGTAAATTTTATATATGTTTTTGTGCATGTAAGGTAGTGCATCACTGGTACAGATTGTTTTCAAATTTTATTTCAAGACGTGTTATGTGAGAGTTGCATGTTAGATAGAATAATAGATAATATTGAGGTTGAAGTGTTTCAGATCTCATGTTTCGTTGCAGAAACATAGCCAACTTGGGTACAAAACTTTATAATTGTGTTAGGGATGTGTTTTGTTGCATTTATTTTGGTACTTCTTGAAGTATTAAAGGAAATTTTATTTGCAATGGACCATTACACAAATCTGGATAGGGCACGTGTAATATACCTATCACTACCCTACTAGTCTAGAGGATATAGAAATATTGTAGCTTGTTCTTTTATATGTATATAGTCTTCTATACTATTTTCATGTAGCATATAATTAAATACAAACATCATAAACAAGCACAAGGTACTTTTCAGCAAGTTTTTTATTGATAATACAGATCAGGATACATATACATACAGTCAAGTTCAGTTATTTTTACCATAGAAAATTTTATGTAAAATGTAACCTTTTGTAACTGTGCTACAAACATTAGGACTACAGAAAATTAAGTAATACCAACTTATGTATACGTAATGAATATATGCTTAACCTAAAACATGCCTCGAGTTAAATTAAGTTACAATTTCTTGAAATGTTAACTCAAAACTCCAGGAATTGCCAGAAACACACTTATCACTCAGAACATCAGTCTGTGACTGAAAAAAAATCAATTACATAGAGTTAGAATGCACTGCATTAAGGCAAAGCTAATAAATACATATTTCAGGACACACAAAACCTTCTAGCTATAGAATATGATTTATTAAATTTGTAGTCATTTTTTCATCACAACAATAAATGAAATCAACACCTAAATCTACAATGTATTCTGCAGTTACATGTTCTAAAGCAGTTTCACTGTAATTGTGTGACAGTCTTCACAAAACATACCTATCTTCAGAACTAGGTGCAGAACCCTATAAAGAAACATATTATTCTGCAAGCTAACTAACACTCACACTTAGTTATCCTTTCACGTCCTGTATTTTGTCAAAAATACATTTTTATATATGATCAATTCTGGTCATAACTGCTTTTTGCAACAAGACAAAGAAAATTATGTTATAAATATAAATTTGGTTAACACTCACATGCTATACTATATGAAAATACTCAAAATTTAATTTTGGACAATTGCACAGAATATTCAACAAATAACAATAAGTAGCTAGCATTATCAACAGCAAAACAAAATTACACTAACAATAAAAAGCATGTATAATCTCCCAAAATTATGATTAAGTAAGTTTAGTTACTCCGAAGGTAGCACAATGCTGATTATTAAAGATTAAGATGTAATGTTGTATAAAGAAGTTATATAGCCTGAAAGACTTTACCATCTCAGATTTACCACAATTTAAGAACCTGATTAATAAAAATGACTCATCATGATGGGTTACTTTGAGATATAAAACAGGGATAAAAGTATTTCATACATCACAAAATATCCATAAAAGGTTTATACTTTGACCATCATATATCAAATACTCAAGTGTGACCCACTGTTGAATGAATTATCACAAGTATTAAACAGACATAATTTCAAAGATGGTTCATTAAACATTTCAAATCTGAAACAAAACCTTCAGCAAATTCATCAAACACACTTCTTTTTATTTCCTTGTACTTAAAAACTATTAACTAAAGATTTTTGTAAATAGAATAGACCATTGCTCTTTACTGAGATATAAGATATACAAATGGGTTTTACTGTTTTACCTTCGAATGTAAACAGGTAGCTGCTGTACCCAATCCTTAGCATATATTTAACCCAAATTAGTGCAGTTCTAATAACAAAATTGATTTTAGTGAATACACAAAAGAGTGAAAATATTTCATGCATAGCTCTCTCAAAGTGAGCATAAGACACAACAAACAATGAATAGAAAGTGTTTTTTAATACTATGCTACTTGTAATTTAAGGTTTTTCAGGATACTATGTCTCAATCTAAATTCATTTGTAATCAAACTATAATTTGAGAAAGCAAATTGAACATTAACTTTACCTTTTTATTGAATCATGACTAAACTACCAAAATACAAGAGATATATATTACTGTCTCATAGAATATTAAACATTTATATGCCTCAAAAGTTTATATTTTTCGATTTTTATAAAGTATAAGAACAAGATACAAGTCCTTAAAACCTAAACAGCCTCAAAATAAAGCAATGGAAAAAATGGAGATCAAAGTAACACCAAAAATACAATGTGAAATACATACCATTCATACAATACATACAATGTATAAAAACTTAGTGTAACTGAATCACATGTTATGATCATTTCTTTTCTCCAATCAAAAACTCATATCATTACCACCAGTCTGTGTCCATTTTTTAAAGTTGATTCAAAGCAACGATTCTTACAAAAGATTTGTTTAGTTATGAGAATAATGTAATATTTGCTATTATAAGTCACTTCCTATGTAAATCCAAGTTTGCTTAAGTTTTAGTCTTGCTTTTCTCTGCAAAATAATTTAAAAAGTGGCAAAATCATAAAAAAAAACGATTCTTAATGGAAAATTTGTAGATATGAAAAAATCCTAAACATTCAAAACAAACAACATATAATAATCCTTACCTTTATTTTCCTTTATAGACAACTGTTGCTTTTGGTGTTCTTACTTTCTTACACCCCAAGTTAATTCTTTGAAAAGAGTAGTATTAATGATGTGTGCCTTATCACAAAAACCAAACATACCAGGAAATAAAAAAGCATTCAGAATGATGGAACATAACTCTTTTGACCAGCATATAAAATGACCGGACTTTTAAAAGCCAATCTAAACCTACTAAGAACACAATTTGACTAGATGACTGTGGGTGTAACCAATTTTTCTTTTCCTCATGATAATGTTACATAATACAATGAAAAAAATTACTACATCATCTATATAACAAAAGTTTCCCATGAAAGAACACTGATTTACAATAACTAGGGAAGTGATATATATATATATATATATAATTATGTTTGTATGTATACATATATGCATGAATATATATATATATATGTATAATTACCTTATAATTAATATGAATGATCATTTTCATTAAAAATCCAAAGTTTATTTAGTTTCACAAGACATCAAATAATGAAATTACTGGTCCTATTTCTAGTTCCTTATTAAACCAACAAATATGAAATAGCATCTGAGTTCATATTATATTATTTTCATACCAGTAAACATATGGGAAACACAATCACTTCAAAAATAACATTTAAATCTTATCATTAAATCTAAAATACTAACAACATAACTAATACATAATAGAGTTACCAAACACAGAAGCTTACTTGAAAGCTTCTAGATATTAAAACATTGATTGTGTTTTTACAAAATGTGACTCAAACTAAAATAAAGAAATGACATAAATTGAATTATATTATAGTATATTTGAGTTACAATAAATTTATAATGTACCATATGTTACAATAATATCAACATTCATGATGTAATTCTTTTTCATGAGTCACTGACATGAAAAACAAAAACTGTGTTAATCATATCAATAAATCAACTATAATAGTATGATAACAAGGCTCAGGTTATGTAAAATCGATTATCTGATTTAATTTACAATCAGTCAAGACTTACATCATAAAAGGAACAAAATTCAATGTGATTTTGACTTCTGTTAAATGCTTTTTACTACTGGTTTGTCTGTGAAGAAGTAACATGAAGAAAATATACAAGAAACAGCCTTTCACATTTAGTCACACACGAATGTTTAACAATATTAACCCTGAATATTATCATTATTCATTCAAGGTTTGAGAGAGAGAGAGAGAGAGAGAGAGAGAAGAAAAAAATTGACCAAACAGCATTATTGTATCACTTGTACCATTCCAAGGCAGTACATGAGAATCCAGCTCTCAGACGCATATCTGATAATATATTAAATTTTCTTCGTAAAAACATGCAGCTCAATCCCTAGATTTTTACATAGAAATCTAAACAAAACCACAAGTGATTTCTGAAGCTTGAGTTATCAGAAAAAACATTTTACATCCAGTATTCTCAGTGCTAAAATATTATCAAAATTGAAAAGACAATACTTTTAGCATACAACATAATAGACAGGAAATCATTAATAAATATAAACACCATGCATGGCAGGATAATTTCCAACATCATCTCTTTGCCATTTTGTGATATCTACAGTTGATAAAGAAACAGCAAAAACAGAAATTTTCTCTTCTCTTGCTTGTGCAATGCCATTGTAAAATGCACAAGATATCAAATAAGTTTTTTTTCTTAGTAATATAAACATATATATATATCTTAATGTGAGCATGTTGTCACATGTTCAAATACTACAGCATCTAAGTTTGTGTGAGAGATACATGACACTTGTTGGTTGGGTTTCACTTTCACACCACAAGCATAAGGGAGGTCAGTTACAGACTGTGAACTATGGTGATAATCTAATGTCTGGTTCATCAGTCCTTTCATTTATCCTGGTCCTGATCTTCATCCATTGGTTCTTCAACTTGCTGGGTTGAACAGTTTGGTTCTGGCCTCCTGTAGTGTTAAATATTAAAACAGTTAAGAGTAAGATGAGAAACCAGAGTTAACAAATGTCAAATGTCCCTTTTAATTATTAATATTAAACACTCACCTCTCACTGTGTACAATTTGGTAAATCTAAAAAATGTACAGTCACCAGCTAGATCAAAACTAAAATAATTAGAAAGTTTGCAAACTTAGTTTTACTCAGTGTTTTAATTAAATTTAAAACAGCTTTTCCTAATGTATCTACAGAAATGAAAGAAATAAGCTTACTGAATGTGAGGTCCATGTGGAACTGTCATTGAAAGTGATGCAAGAGCTGTTATGGTGTCCACCTCTTCCCTTTCTTTCTGCTGAGCCTCCAAGAGAGAATATCCAACTGTGGGTGCCCAACGTTTGATACATGGCCAATGGGGAGCTTTAATGGTACATTATAAGCATTTCATCACAATATGTAAGTTGTTTAAAACTGCTTTAGTCACTGGTAACTATCCTGTTTATATAACAAGAAACACACTTTACTCTTACCAATACTTCTCTTGTTACTAATCAAAGTTTATAATTAAGAAAAACAGATAAAACCTAAATTTCAATGCAATATTTTCATACAAGAAATTTGTGTTGATTAGACTACAAACTTTGCAACACCAATATGACTTCCAGAGCAAGTTCATAACAGAAAAATATATTCAAACAACTCTTTTTCACTTAAATTTCATCTATGTGGCAAAAAATGGCCTATGTTTCTCTTAAAAACTTCAAAGTAACAGTCATAAAAGGTTGTACATTGAAAACAAATTGATTTGCATGTTGTTAGATGTAATTAATGCTCTTATTATTTAATTTTCTCCATATAATATGTTTTGTAACACACCAATACAAATATCGGCTTAACATTGTCATATCATTTTTCTAGAATTTAAACAAAAGTGTTTGCTTTAAGCACATACAAACACTTTCAAATGTTTGTGAATTCATACTGGGTTAAACACCTTCTTCTTTATCACATATATTTATATGCTTTACATTGTTGTATAGGTTTCAAACACTGACAACACACCTTGAATACTAATTGTTTGCTGAAGAATATTCACAGCTATAGGGGAAGGTTTTCGAGTTATTTCTTCCTCTTGTAGTGGACTACCCTCATCTTCAAGCAGAGCCATTACACACTCTTGAGAACAATCACAGATAGAGGGAAGATCATAGCTGTGAAAATAAATTATGATTTCTTTGAAAAAACAAACAAACAAAATTATGAATCCTGCAACTTCACATTGTTTAATTCCTAAAAATATCTAAAACCTAATTTATAGATGTAAATAATGTAAAAAAACTTACCCTCCTTCCAAAGCAAGAACAACCCGTCCTTTAGAAAGTGTCATCAGCTGCTTTGTCAAGTAGCCAAAACCTAAAAACATTACATTTTAAATAAGAAAATAACCATAAAAAAGAATAAATAATATTCTATCTTCATAAAAATTACTCCACCATTCAAAAGTTTGGAAGAAGATGCATCTTGGGAGATATGGAAATTTAAACATTTGAAATTAGATCTTCTGGTTATAATAACAATAAAGGCTAAATTATATAATTGTACACATAAAAATGTAACTGTATCTAATTATTCTCACTTAAACATTAATAAGTATGATTGAATACCAATCTTATAATCAAAAATAAGAATATACTGAAAACATCCAAAAATTTAGAATGGAGGTGGAGAGACCATTATTTGGGGCTGTTTTGGTATAAACAAACCAAGGGACATATACACAGTTTTGGATACATGCATCCAGAAAATTAACTATTACAGTATTTTACAAGACATTAAATGTTTTCTGTTGTTACAATTATTAACCAAGATTTCATTATCCAACAGAACAATGAACCAAAGTGTACATTACAGTTATTCTGATTAAAGTTGAACTTGTTTTGGATAAAATTAATAGGCATGTGATACTTATGATGACACATGATGTGCAACATCGCTGTGGTAATGTAGTCATACCGTCATAGAGCCAGGAATGATTTATTACCTGAATATTTTGGTAAACTGAGTGACAGAATGCTACCAATATGTAAAGTTGTCATTAAGAACCAAAGGTGACTATTTTGACGATTATAATGTTAAATTGAAAATTCTTAGATTATGATTGAATTTCTCTGTGTCCAAATGTATAATTTAGCATTTACTGCTATTACAACTGTGGTATATTCAAGTACAACTGAATTAAATTTACAGAAATGTAATAGGGCCACAGAGTAACAGGATATTTATTATAGAATAATTTTAAATCTCTGAATAACTGAGTCATGAGAATGAACGAAATAAAGAGACTGGACACAAAGTAAAATATGAAATGAACCATCTTTGTTGTAGTAATTGGCATAAGTGGTTAAGCTTTTCAAGGTACTCCTCTTCTGAGCCTTGAACGGATTGCTTCATTTTCCCACCAGGTAGAACCTTCAGGTCAACTTGGTAATGACTGTCTCATAGTCCTACAGTTTCTCCATCATCAAGTGCTTGATGGAGGATATAAACAAACCATCTAAACTCAGAATCAGATATTGCACAGCCTGTTCCAAAGTCCAGCAGCAATTCCAAGTAGTTACCTGCCTGAAATGCTTCAGAAAATGGTCTACACCCTCATTCTCTGTACCCTTGAATGTCAGTAATCTATTTTGCTTTGCTAATGGAGAACCATAATTGTGGCCATTCTCTTTCACAACTTCTTGGCTACCACCTGACCAAGATGCCCTTGACATCATAAGCATTGTGTTGTAGGTACTCTCAGGGACCTCGACCAACACTCTGATGAGTATTAGGCTCCTGCTCTAGGGTGGCAGAAAAACAAAAAGTGTTCTCTGGTGTTACACTTATTGACCAAGGTTTCAGTATCCAACAGGAAAATGAACCAAAGTGTACATTCAAGCTATTTGATGCTAAGTTGAACTTGTGTTTGATAAAATTGACAGACATGTAAAACTTGTGATGACACATGATGTGCAACATGACCGTGGCAATATAATCATAAAGCTCAGAGAGGTTCACTACTGTCCTATGAGCCATTTGCTTTGCCATTCAATACCCGCAGTTTCACCTGTTGCATGAGAAAGCTACTGATGGTGGATATTGTCCACCAATGGAACCTGTAGTCTCTCTCCGATGTTCTCAGGGGCTTCAATCAGAGCTGAGGTTGGGTTACTCTGGCTGATGTATGACTGTGAGTCCTATACAAATCACTCCACTCAATCTCAGTCTTACTAGATGCTACAGCATTGCAATAATCCTCAGTCAACTATATTTTCCTCCAATTAAGAGCAAGAACAGCTTCTGTGTGCACCAGACATCAGTGGTTCGTCTTCCTGAGTCATTGGCTGTTATGAGGTAGAAGTCATGGACCTTTGCAGTATTGGCAAAAATCTGATATCTCCTAGATCTGACAATTCTCTCAGACAATCATTTCCTTTCAGTGAATGACTCTCCCTCTTGGTCATAAGTCCTTCTAGTTGTGTAAACTACCTCTTGCATCACTAGGAAGCCTTTTTAAACTTAAAGCACAAGAGTTGAAGTAAAGGGAACCAAAATTATTTCCTTCCTTTCCACTCTTTAGAGCAATGGAATAGGTACACAAAATAACAAGAAACTTGTTCAGGATGTTTATTACAGAATAATGCTAAATCTGTGAATAACTATAACTGTATTAAGAGAATGAATGAAATAAATAGATTGGATGCAATGTAAAATACAAACTGAATAATCCTTACTGTAGTCATGCTTAACATAAACATAGCAGTTACAGTTGCTTGTACGAAACAGCAGACTGTTACTTTTACTGGATTCTCACTATAAACTGCTTGCTCTTCAAGATTGCATTATAGACTGACCAAATCCAACATGTCTTACTTTGCAAGAAACATAGTATTACCTTCATGAATGGCCATTCTCATTCAAACACAGGTGATACTATAACCTTGAGATATCACCTGAACTAACACTGAAGAACATTGCTGTTGACATTCTTGCACAATGTGCAGTATTACAGCAATACTTCCCATGAGCAGAATATTATCTCCTAGAGAATAAAAAGTAACAAAGGCAGCTAGAATGAGATGAACTTAACAGCTTTCTGGACCACATGTTATGTGAAACTTACACATATGCTGAATAAATGTTAAGTTCAGAAGAAACACTAGAAATGTATAATATATTCATGCACCACATAACCTATAATTTGATTATATATATATGTTGATCTTATATGCAAAAATGTAACTGATTTCAAACATTTTAATGGTACTGCATAGTCATTATTTCTAAATTTCTCAGTGTGTTTCTTCTTCTTTTCAAATATGTTACAACTGACCTTTTCACTATGAAAAATTTAAGTTTGACAATAAAACATTTAGCTCAAATTGTTGGCATGCATGTGTGGAACTTAAGATTCAACTGAAATTATCTAAATTTGCATTAGTTCTGTTTTCATATATAATAAGTATCTGAACTTGAGTTTATATTTTCAAGAATACATGCATGAGGAATATTTATGTTGTTGTATGACTACAAATTTTAATTTTGCCACATTAATTTTTACCTTAAGCAAGTAATTTCTTTTTATATTTATTTATTACGAACTGCTTCATCTGCAGGAGATAATTAAACCATGTTTTTTAGTTTCAGAGTAATGGATAAACAAAACACAAAACTACAGACTCTTGGATGCTGGTCCGGAGAATTGAATATGAAAAAAATATCACCTATTATGGATTAATGAAGAGAAATGATAAAAAAATATTGTATATTATAAGGAAAACATTAATTTGCATAAAATATTAAATGAAATTTTGAGTGTCCCTGTCTTGTATCTAGCAAAACTATAGCTAGTAAAACACACCCACTGTTAACTCTTAGGTTGCTTTAATCAAATAGTAGGATTTTACTGTCACTCCTATAACACACCAATGGCCCTAAAGTGAGGAGCTCGATTTTGTGGCAATGGGATGGGAACAATGAACCCTTGAATTCACAGTCTGACAAGTAAACCACTAGGCCACATCTGGTTCCAACAAGAACAGAATCAGATACAAGCGTTGTTGCATGACATAGAAACTGTTTCACTGAATTAGAGGATTTACAATGGAGCACAGATACTAAAAATAATTAAGCACTTAATTTATGTAGGTATTTGATGTTATATGCCAGCTAGTCTCATTATTGTACATGAATACAGGACTTAAACTTTTTCGTTGCGATGCTGTTAATAGAGGATGTAAGCATATGATTGGATGTGGTGTTTATTTCAGACAGAAAAATTATACTTACAAGCAGGTGAAAGTGTGTAACCTCCTAGTGGTGCAGGGTGGCCATTAGCAGCATCAAAGCCTGCAGCTACAAGGACAATCTCTGGGTCAAAATCCCTGGCAATTGGCATTACAAGAGTCCTATAGCAAGATTTTTATCAGTTTGAGTAAATATTCTTTATCATATTTCTGTACAAGTTACATGAATATTGTAGTTTTCAAAATTCAAAGACAAATTTGCAATACAAGCGTATAATTATATGCCAGAAAACACTACAACACTCTAGAAAACACATATTCAAGATGTTTATGTGCATTCAAGCTTATGATTTAAAATTACACAGTTGCATTACATTTATTACCCTTACCTACATCACTCAAGTCCACAGTATAACAAGAAAAGTCCTTATGCAATACCATTAGAAAAATAAACTAATGTAAATATTCATTACTTTCTCATTTTCAGTATATATAGGAGAAAACAATGGTTCAATCAGGCTTTTTTATACTATATAAGTAAGTAGCTTTAGGCATAAAACAAAGAGCTGCTCTTTGATTTTTACAAAATATGCAGTTATGTATGATTTATGACTTTTGGTGAACTAAAACATATCTACAGTTTTTTCACATAGATATTATAAAATCATTTAACCTTTTCTAGAACCGTACATAAATACATTTATTGAGTTAGAAGATTTCCCAACTTTAATCTACTAAAAAAAATTATAATAATGTTTTGACAAAACAGTCATTATATGGATTTTATTGTATGCATGGGTATTTTTACTAAATAATTTTGGTACAATGACTAGTAATGATTACAAGTGTGACCAGATAATTTTCATTGATTCAGTTAAGACAGACACAATTACCACAAACAGTAACCACACATAGTAGGTTGAGAAAATATAATTAAATTGAAAGAATTTAAAAAAAAACCTTGACTTCTTTTTCCATTAATTAGACACTCAAACAGTGTATTGAAAAGAATTAACTAGACACTTTCCTTTGCTTCCTTTACAAATTAGTTTCAGGTGTTGACATTTGATATTCTGAATACTTTGCCATCATTTCAAATGACAGTACATTCTATAAAGCATTGTTCCTCAATCATCATTTCACAGACGGGCACTGGTCCCTGGTAACTATCATGCTAGTGCATGGGATTTCACAAAACACACAAAAAAAACTGACAGAATATTCCTATGTAAGTCATAATGGGTTTTTGCTGTACTTGTACTTTAGTGATCTTGGATGGTTTAGATAGGAAGCATGCCATTCCTGGTATCAAAAAGGTTAAGAAATGTTGCTGCAAAGTACATATTTACTTACTATTTTTGAATAATTTAATTAATATGCATGTTGTGATAGGTGTGATCAAGTTGAGATGATGTGAATGTTAATCCACATGGAAGTTCCAGGCAAGATTCATCACTTGCAATCTCCAGGTCATGGGTTCAACTCCCTGTCAAACCAAACATGCTCACCCATTCAGCTGTGGGGCCATTATAATGTGATGATCAATCCCACTATTCATTGGTAAAAGAGTAGCCTAAGAGTTGGCAGTGGGTGGTGTTGACTAGCTGCCCTCCCTCAAGTTTATCACTGCTAAATTAGGAAAAGCTAGCACAGACAGCCTTCATGTAGCTTTGTGCAAAATTCAAAATAAACCAGACTGATCATCTCGAACAAGAACATTCTCATATACTTTAGGCTAATTCAGTTGACAAGATTCAACATAAAATAAAATGAAATGGAATAAACTGTGAGAAATTTAAGAAAACGATTTATTTATTTGGTAAATTACTGTTCAGGTACTGTCAATATTTAAACTTAGTGTTCAGCGAGTTGAAAACATAGTCTTAGTTTTGTATAAACTTACATAACCAGAGTATGAGGGTAGACATACACAGTTCTGGACATGTGGTTGTTTATGAAATAAGATTACCTGTTTCTAATACCAAAAAAGAAGTGTAACATAAACATATCATTGCATGGGGTTACAAATAATTATGCAAGCATGTGTTCATGAAGAGTATATTAATTGCTTTAATAAATCATCAAATTTTATTTTTCAGTAATTTTGTGAGTCATCTATTAAAATTAAACAAAAAATAAATATCTCTCAGTGTCATTCAATTATCATGACCAAATATTTCATTTACTGAATGAGAACAAAACTGATTATATTCAAAATAGTTTCAATTTACTTTGAAAAAAATGAGCACAAAACAAAATTTTTATCTAATAATAGATAATACATAAAAAAAACTGTATTAACCTAAATGCTGCAATGTACTCAGCATCTCCTATTGGTGGATTCAATGCCCCTGACCAGGCAATGTTGACAGTAAAACCAATTCCATCTTCAATTCCTACCTACACAGAAAGTGATGTATATGAATGTTAAGCTGCTGAAAACAACTATATATCTTGCTAATCTCATCTACAGTTACTTACACAGGTATAAAAGTCTCTTTTGCTATACTGAAAGCTAGTAGGTGCACTTATAGTACTTTAGTTTATTACTCACTATATAGAGAATAAAACTGTGCTCCACAAAAGGAAAACAGCAGAATGCTCACTATGACAGTCTGGCTATAAAATTCTTTAACTTTTTATCAAGACACTAAGTGGTGAAAACCACTAAAATATGCTTATAAATAAGAGAGCTAATTCAAAACCTTTTTCACTAACATCAGAAAAAGTGAACATTTCTGATGAACAATATTTTCAAATGGCCACAGACATATCTCATATATTTTTTTATGATATTTAGAAAACTACTGGGCAAAATGTTTCAGTCATAAAAACTAACTAAACCAATTTACGTGAGAAGAATTCTTTACACTTTCAATACAATTTTTTTTCTTATACCAAGAATACATAACAATGAGTTTTGGGTATAGCTGATAGCATATAAAAAGGCTTCATACTAAAAATCTTTTCATTTGTATTTTTTATTTCAAAAATTAATAATGTTTGTCTTGCCTAGCATTTTTAACATACCACTTTTGTGCTCTGATACTTAGATTTGATAACAGAGAATGTAACATAATGCAGGAGTGATATATTTGGAGTATGCACATAGGTTGTATAAGTAAAAAAATTATACATTACAGGTATCTGCCTCACCTCCAGAGGATCACCTGTTCCTGGGAAAAAGTTACCATCATCATGTCGATGAAGAGAGATATACAAGAAGTGAGGATCATCATAAAAAATCTGTTGAATACCATTTCCATGGTGAACATCCTAATTAAAATAGATAATTACATTTAAATAATTTGCATAGTGCAGCAAAATTTGCTTTATCTAAGCCTAACCAACACCATGAGCTGTAACTTGTATAAAAATATGTGCAATGGATTTAGGATAACTGCAGTTATGTGGCAAAATAGATATATAGGATCTCAAGCTGAACCACTTATAAGTAGAAGAAAGTTACAATTCCAAAGGGAATATTAGTGCAAATTTGGAGTGAAAATGGCGATTCCACTTTAGTCAGCAAAACCACCTTCAGCAACCATTGCCATGAACAAAATATACTACAAATGTCTGAAAAATTGACCCTTGCACTAGTTTCAAATCAATAAAGAAGCATAAGACATCTTGCCAGATATGAGACTAGACTTTATCTATTAATGGTGAATTAAAGTAGACAGTGTGTCTGTGCATAGAGTGTTGAATATTCCTATTCACCACAAAATTAGGACCATATGTTAATATAAAGTTCTGAAAAATGAACATAAGTCCTCTAATTTTAATGTGGCATCCAGTTTATAAATTGAGATTTATAACCTACCTGTCAAAAAAGTAACAATATATGTCAGAAATTGTAATGTATTTCATTCACAGAGTAACTCCATATGACTGAGATATACCACCTTCATGGAAGTCAACCATACACAAGCTACCAAGGAAAAGGTCCTCAAAGCACGTAGAGAGGTTTTTAGCCCTAGCCTTCATTAAAGAGATACCTGCACAACTAGAAAAGAGACAAGCCATAATGCTTGTAAAAAAAAAGAGTATTGTTGATACCAAGCATGAACATAAGATTCAGCTAAATGAGGAACAAAAGAAACTAGGAGAAAGAGAATTAACATTACATGTTAAAGCAGGCAATATGATATCTGCTCAAGAAAGAATCTCTAGAGAATAAAGTGTAAATCACACAATTTATTATGCCAATATATCTGTACAATATATGTAAATAAACAGACAGAAGTCTAACTGGTAGAAAATATCAAAAAATTAATCCATCATTTCAAAATGAGTAGAGATAAGAATATCATCAACACACCTGAATAAAAATTAATATATCCACTGAAAAGGAGAAGCAAATCCATGAAATTTCAAAGGGAGTAAATGATTGAACAGTCTAAACCATCAAAAATTGAATGTCCATCACAAATAAGAACTGAAGAAGTATTAATCAGAAACATTAACATGAAAGAAAACATAATCTAACCTGTATATGAATGGAATGGTTGTTAACTAGTACCAGATGTCTTAGTTGTTTCTTTGGTATGGCATGATCAAAAATCACCTGTTAACCCTACTTTCAAGTAGATGTAATCTATGTCACAGAAAAATGAATAAGAGTGGTAGAAGTTAGGCTTAATATAATAGTGTAAATGTTGGAGAAGGTATATTAATTTAGTTAAGAAAAATACAAGTTAGTATATTTGAATTCCATTTATCTAAGAAGAAACTTGTGGAAGAAGTCAACATGTAATTATAGAAATACTTTTTTCAGCTATAAATTACTAATTGATAATATTAATTTTCAGCTAAAACCAACTGAGTGTTAATTAAATTTGACTTATTGTCTATTCAATAACTAAAATATAATACATACAAAATAAAAAATAACAGAGAAATAATGTTACAAAATTATCAGGTTTAGCATATTAATAAAAGTTAAATGGTTACATGTATAAAAAGCCATTTTGTTAATGTTGGTCAAAATAGATAACAAAACTTTAAATCCTATAATAATTTTACCATAATCTTCACAATTCTTACATGTCACATACAAGAAATATAATTTATTTATTCAATAATATAAATTGCAGCCCTTTCGTTTTGACCACCAGAATTAACATAAAACACATTTAAATTAATTAACACATTTGCTGAATTAGATATTACAAGACTAACAGATAACTTACCCAGTCAACTATCAAGATTTTTTCCAACTTTAGCCTCTGTCTTAGTTGTTTTGCAGCAACAGCAATAGAATTAAAGAAGCAAAAACCCCTATAGTTCAAGAAAAAAAATACAACAAATTTGTTTAACTAGAAATTGAATTATATAATAAAGTTTGTGGTAATTACACAAGTAGCTTCTACTAAGTTTACTGTGCACTTCTAAAAATGTTTAGTTATAAAATTATAGTTCTCCTATAGCATGAAAGGATTGTCTATATTTTTCTTTACAACAAGTTGGCTCAGATGGTTCCATTTATCAGCAAGAATTTAAATGTAGAGAAATATCTATTCTAAACTTGAGCCTTTCATCTAACTACTTGATATACACTTATTTTGACAAATGGAAGGACAATTAACTGTGATAACATTGTGTATTTTATTTGAAATACCCTACTTTTGTGCTTTTGAGCATGTTATGTGTTTTCTACTTGCTTTTAGTTATACAGGAAGTTTTAAAATTCTTGTGTTTGTTTACTTTCTTTGCATTTGTACTACAACATAAACACCTGGTCCAGAAAGCTGTTGAAGTTGCCTTGTTCTAGTTTTTTGTTCTCTGTAGTGGATAATGCTTATTCTAACAGAAGGGATATTACAGTAACATAGCATATCCATGTTGAAAGGATCACCAATTGTGATATCCTTTGCTGGCCAAAATGATAATGTCTGTATGTTACAACCCAACAATGCCATGAGAGAACAAGGGTCACAAAGTGACACTGGACAACGAAACTGAGTTTACCTGTTGAATTCAAGCACATTTTTTTTGAATCATTGTGTTTGAGTTCTTTGAAAATCAATACTGAGAGAGTGAAAGCAGTGGGACTAGACACCACCTTGTAAATAAATAGCTGTGGTCCTGTCAGTGCAAGTATGTATTCTGCATTTTCTTTTTGTTATATAATAGAGATTATGTTTGTTTCTTTCAAAACTTTTCCAATCTCACTATTGCACATACAAGTAAACTCAGTCAAGGTTTCAAAAATAGATGACTCCACAAATTCCTTGCCTGACTCTGCTATTATTAATGGATCTAACTATCTGATACTTGTGTGAAAATCAGTTCACCTGAGAATACCACACCTTTACCATTCTGCAGCAGTTTTACTTATGTATCTTATATGTATAATACACTTTTATAGCTTACAAGGTCATAAATATTTGATTGTTTATTTCATTTTACACAAAGCTACTAACTAGGTCTATCAGTGCTAGCATCCACACTTTCAAAGTGATAGACTAGAGAGAATTAAGGTTGTTAGTCAATACAACTCATTATCAACTCTTGGGCTATTCTTTATCAATGAATAGTGTGGTTAGCATTCCATGACCTGCAGATTGTGAGTTGAGCATTTTAGTCCCATGCCTCATAAATCTTTATCAACAACTAAACAACTAAGTAATAAGCATACTTTTACTAGGAAGTTGTTGTTTTCATCATGAAAGCTACACAATGAGCTATCTCCACTGTGGGAAATCGAACCCCGGTTTTTAACGTTGTGTGCCCATATACTTACTGATTATCTGCTGAGGGACATATTAAAAAGTTACTATAAATTTCATAAGTTCTCTCTAAACTTAATTCAGTTTCAATAAACAAATTAAGATAAATACAAACAGTGTTAAAAGATAACAATTTTGTTTTATAACAATATATGAATACAGAGTCTGTCTATCTACACTTACATTGCTTGTTGAGGTTCAGCATGGTGACCTGGTGGCCGAACAACAGCAAACCCATTCTGTTGAAGAAATAAAGGAAGGAACTTTTATTTCTCAGGAGAATATAGAAATGCAGAAAAATTAACATTTGGGTTAATTTTGAGACAATGTTTTACTATATGGCCTTGAGCTTAAAAACAATTATTTTTATAACTATAACTAGATCTAGCCTATATCAAAGACTTCTTAATCACAGATTATATCTGACAAATATTTTAAATTTTAAAATAAATAAAGTTAATTAGTCTTCAATTTAGATACTTCATTAACAAGCATACTGATGAGACAAACATGCTTCTCCATCAACAAATGTTTCACACCCTTTCTAACCCAATAGAAATTCTATCTCATAAATAACCCTCAAGGTAACATTGAGGAATATTTACTTTTCACATTCCAACATATTTTATGTTTTCTAAATGAAAAGTTTTCTTAAATATCTTTTCATTAATATGATTTTCACAACTTTTCAGTTAGCAGTTGATCTTCATATATTTTATTGCTGCTTCTAAGTGTTTACTACTGTCACAGAGTGATCTACATCAACCATTATTCCTCCAGCATAAATTAACAAGTTTCTGACTTACCTTGACTTCTCCAGTAGCTACTTTCAAAGCGAGTTCTGTGACACATCCAGCAGCCATTCGAGAAGCACTAGCAGTGTGTAGCTCATTCCATATTGTGTCAGAATCTATTCCAATCCCTCCACATGACAACATCACAAAATTCTTAATTGGCAAGTCTGATAAAGTAGAGACAATATAATAGTATATACTATTATATAGAAAATATATTATAATATACACCTGGGAGAAAGTTAAGCACCCCCGTGTTTTTTTCAAGTGATTCAGATTCGATGTTCTTGTGACTGATTATAAATTACCATTCAATCTAAAT